AAGGCAGACGCTTAACAACTGAGCCACCCAGGCGCCCCGAGCCACATCTTTTAAAATCTTCTTTTTCCCCAGTTTCACTGAGAAATAATTGCCATACATGACTGTGAGTTCAAGGTGGACAGCATGATGGTCTGATTTACATATATTATGAAATAATGACCACCATAGGCCTAGTTAACATCTTCCATCTCGTATAGACATGATAAAAAGAAATAGGAGTACCTGGGGGGCTCAGTCGGTTAGGCATCTTTCTTCGGTTCAGGTCATGACCTCGGGGTCCTGAGATCAAGCCCCACATTGGGCTCCCTGCTCGGCAGGAAGTCTGCTTCTCCCTCTCCCTCTGTCCCTCCTCACCCCCGACTTGTGCTCTCTGTCTCTCTCTCTCTCAAATAGATAAAATCTTTTTTAAAAAAAGAGAGAGAGAGATGATTTCTCCTTGTGATGAGGACTTTTAGGATCTACTCTCTTAACAGCTTTCTTGTATATCACACAGCGGTGTTAACTATGATCACCATGGTGTATATTACATCCCTAGTACTGATTTATCTTAGAACTGAAAGTTTCTACCTTTTGACCGCCTTCCTCCAACCTTTCAAATCTTAATAACGTCACCCTCCAGGGTGAGGGCATCACTTTGGGGGCAGGAGCAATATCTTTAGGTAAGAACTGGCCCCAAACCTTCAAATCCTATTGCTGGTGGCTTACTTATCCCACAAGGTTGTTCTAAAAAGTTCAGTGATGTCTGCAAGCTGTTTGGCCCTCCCTGAAAGCTTGCACATTTCTCTTCCAGGTTCACAGTTCCTGGGCTAAGGACGGGGAAGGAGTATGAGTTTTGTGTCAGATCAGTCAGCGAGGCTGGGGTCGGCGAGAGCTCAGCTGTCACCGAACCCATCAGGGTCAAGCAGGCTCTGGGTAAGTGCAAAGGGCAGGTGCAGCCGCACGTCTCTCGGGGGCAGCTCTGGGCTGGGCAGAAAGCAGGGGCTTATAGACCACATCTTGGAGGGTCCAACCCCAGAGGCCAAGGGAGCGTAAGTCCTCTGAGGGGATCTAGAGCAGATCCCGACCCCCACCCCTTTCCTTTGGGGAGGAAATGACAATGGCCTGAGGCCATAGGGTGATGTCTGACCAGCTCTGAGGCCCAGGTGCCCTGCAGGTAGCAGAGTCAGGTTTACCAGCAAATGCTGCTGGCTAAGTGAGTAGCCCCAGAGCAGGGTGGGCATCCACTGGGGGAGGCTTGTTGGCTCCCTCAGGCCCCCCTGCCCAATCTGGCCACCCCCAGGAAGCAGCAGTCCTCACCTCGTTCCTCCCCACAGCCACACCATCTGCCCCGTATGATTTCATGCTCCTGAACTGTGGGAAAAATGATATGGTCATTGGGTGGAAGCCCCCCAAGCATCGTGGAGGTGGCAAGATCCTGGGCTACTTCCTGGACCAGCACGACTCAGAGGAGCTGGACTGGCACCCGGTCAACCAGCAGCCCATCCCCACCCGGGTCTGCAAGGTAAGCCTGGAATGGGGCCACTGGCCTGGTGTCCTGGCCAGGGCACGTGGAGACCAGAGGTCACTATTGGAGGTCCTAAAGCCAAGAGAGGCCTCAGGTTCCCTGGACTCGATAATCTGGCTAATTTTCAAGTGCAGATTCACTTGGGCAATCTCATTTAAGGCCCCCTGGTCTTCCTGCTCTGACCTCTCCCCTGCCACCGTACCTCTTTCCCTTCGGCCCCAGCCCTGGCTTTCACCATCTGTCTCTGCTCTTCAAGGTCAGTAACCTTTGTGAAGGCCACTTCTATGAGTTCCGTGCCCGGGCAGCAAACTGGGCAGGGGTTGGCGAGCTGTCGGCACCCAGCAGCCTGTTTGAGTGCAAAGAGTGGACGATGCCCCAACCAGGTGAGAGGTCTGAAGACACTGAAGTCCAGCACCTGCCCCCGCCCCGCCCCATCCCCAAATCCAACTGGTGAAATGAGCACCACCGAGCTTTCTGTGCATCCAAGCTTGCTCTATTGGTCCCAGACCTCAGACCACTGGCCCTTTCCACCAAGAGACCCTGTAATCTCTGACACAGACAGTCTTAACCTTGCTTTAGAGGACCCCTGACCTTGGCCATCAACTGGCTCTGTAACCTCAGCATAAATTACCCCTTAGCTCAACACACCATTTGAGCTCTGATTCTGGCCACAGACCAATGTCAAACCCCAAGGGCACACTGCTAGGGTGACCAACATCCTGCACACCACTCCCACAACCCTGTGAGCTTTCCCCCATATGAGCCCTCACCTCCTCCCTAGGAAGCAAGGATCACAACCTTCCATCATTCTGTTCAGCTCAGTGCTGGTTTTTTCAAGCGAATGGCAGATAATGAGTAGGTGTGATGCTTGAGACAATAATTATAAATAACTGGTATTTGTTGGGTACTTAGCATGTACCAACAGATTCCACAGATTATGCCATTAATGCTCATAACAGCACTAGGTTATAAGAACTATTATTATCCCTACTTTGCAGATGAGGAGACAGGAACATAGGGGTCGAATAACTTACCCAGAGTCCCCATAGCCCGAGAAGGTGAAGCTGGGGCATGAACCCCGGGGAGCTGACTCTGAAGGTCATGCCTTAGCCCCAACACTGATCACTGAAAGAACAAAGAGGTTAGAAGGGTTACTGCTGCCTGGGATAGGGAAGGAAAAGATCACGGATGCTTCTGGAAAAAGTGATGATGAGCACATTTTGAAGAGTTAACCCTATTTCAGGCCCAGGCCAAAACCAAGCTTTGTCATGAAGCCAAGGCCTGCCAGGTCCCCACTGTGCCCAGAGCAGGCGCTCCCAGGCCCGGTTGTAACTGGCAGACTGACAAGGGTTGATGCCTGGCCACCCGGCTCGCTGCCCACCTCTCTGGCCGGCCAACTCCTCCTCTCCCCGACCTCCCACAGGCCCCCCGTATGATGTGCAAGCGTTCGAGGTGCGGGCCACCTCCCTGATGCTGAAGTGGGAGCCCCCGCTGTACACAGGAGCTGGGCCCATCACAGGCTACCGCATCAGTGTCCAAGAGGAAGGCTCTGAACAATGGAAGCCTGTCACCCCAGACCTTATCTCTGGCACCCACCTGAGGGTGAGTCCCTGCCCCTTCACCCCATGTCCCACCCTGAGCCTTCCCTGCCACTGGACATGGCAGGATTACAGAACATCAGGGCCGGAATGACCCTCAGAGATCGCTGCCCTCACTTAATGTCAGCAGAGGACCAGAAAAGGGGTAGGGGCACACCCAGGGTCACACAGTAAGCTGATAGTTGGGCTGGCTGTCTTAACCTGCTCGAAGCTGGGCAGACTGCTCCTAAACCCTCACTTATCATCAGCCAGGTATGTCAGCATTGGACATGCATCCCCCTTGAGCACCGAATTCTGCTTCTGGGATTGGATTGTAGGGAAATGATTAAGCAAGTGTGCAAAGATCTAAGGACAAAGATGCTCACGGCAGTATGGTTTATCAAGGCAAAAGTTGGAAATAATTTAAATGTCCATCTGTAGGGGGTTTGCTTAAATAAATCAGTGTATCCTTCAAGCGGAATCCTGGACCAGGTAGTATAAGGACTATGGTAGTTTAAGGACAATGGGGTGGACCTACATGTATGTACTGACATGAAAATATATCCATCATACGTGGCTAAGAAAAAAATCAGAATACAAAGTAGGCTATTTATGTTAGATAACATACTACATATATATATATATCATACATTAACAAACATCTACACAGATAGATATTTCTTAATTTAAATGAGAAACAAACTCTAAACTCTTTCGATAAATAAGAAATCTAGCAGAATCATTGGTTTTATTCACCTGGGGTGGTGGTTTTAACTTCCACCACCTCACAGAAATTGTCCATGCCGGAAAACAAAGTGTCTATTGCAGCATTCTCAGTGGACACAGATCGATACCTTAGACCATCAGTCAGAGTCCCAGACCTCCAGGTCCCTGGGGCCGCCTCTGCACACCCAGCGCCCAGCCCTGCAGCCAGCCTGGCTCACGGGCCGCCCATGTTTGAGGAACAGGGTGAGGACAGTTCCATGATGTGGATTAGATTTTGTTTTCTGGAGCTCTAGGGAAAGGGGGAACGTCTTCTCCAGCTCACTTTGCTGAGGTGTCTTTCACCAACGGGCAGGAGGGTGAGCAGTTCTCAAGATCACAGGTGAGCATCCCATCAGTTAGCACCAAGAGAAAAGAAGGCAAGTTCGAAACGCCCAAAACAATGTGGAAAGAGTAAGATACTAACAAACATGATGCACGCCACGTTTCTCATGGCTTATGTGCATTTCAAAGTCTAAACGGATTTTTACAAAATTGTTATTTCTGGCGATCTCTGGTGGGGGGGCGGCTGCCAGGGGGGCTGTAACCCTTCCTTTTATATTCTTCTCTATTGTTTTAATATTTTTCCAACAAGTGTGTATGTCTTTTATACTCGGGAGAAAAAAAAAACAAAACTTTAATTTCGAGAAAATAACAGCAAGGCCACCTAAAACAGAAGCAGGTAGGACAAGCCTTGGCCAGGGGCATGCTCTGAGACTTGTGGTTTCTGCTCCATGGGGCCAGGCTCCCTGCGGTCGAATCAGCCAGTGGTGGGCAGCCGACCCGAGAGAGCCCCGAGAGATGGACGGTCCCTCTGCCTCCCCACATAGGTTGGCCCAGGCCAGAACTGGGTGGGCCTCGGTGACTTGGCACCATTTCTGCATTGTGGGTCATTGGCTGGCACTCAGTCATTTACTAAATGCCTTTTGACACCAACTTAGTGCCAGGTCTGGAACCAGGTCCTAGACATAAAGAGCTAAATAAGTCTTGGTCTTTGGGGCAACAGGCAATTACCAGACTGTGCACTGTACCATTGAGGGGGGTCCAAAGAGATTCTGGGAGTTCCAAGGAGGAAGGTAAGAGACCCTTCCTGGAATCCTTGGATCTGCCTGAGCTGAGTGGTCCAGGACGAGTTGGTATTGGCTAGGACAAGAAAGAGGGGAGGACATGCCAGGTAGAGGGCTCAGCAAAGACAAAGGCGTGGAGCCGTGAAAGGGGAAACAGATGAGGTGAACGTGGGCACGTGGAGGGGTTCCCCAGAGGGGTATGAGCGCAGAAGACTAAGGCCAGACTAGGAAGACTTCAGGAACTAAACCTCAAAATCTGAACTTTACCCTGAAGGCCGCTGAAAGAATTAAACACAATCCGACTGGCATCTTGGAAAAATTGGCAGAAGGAAAGGTAGCCTGGGAAGGGCCTAGAGTCAGGGACACCATTTAGGAAACTGTTGGACTAATCCAGGTGAAGAGAAATGAAGCCTCAATCGGGGCCGTGGCTGAGACACAGAGAGGAGAAGCCATGTTCGAGAAATGTTAGGGAAATAAAATATGAACTCGGTGATTAGATGGGTAGGGCTCCAGAAAAAGATGTCAGAGATGGTCCCCAGGCTTCTCTCCGGGGTGATGGTTGGAGAGATGGGGCACAGGAAAGGAGAGTGTCTTCTTGTTGAGAAGCAGGTGATGAGTTGAGCGGGCAGAATTCCGGGGGCCACGGGCGTGGGAGGTAATCCCTGCGCAGGGACCAACTACAAACTGGGACTGGGGAGGGCAGTGCGCTCCTAGCTTGCCCCCCACCCCAGGGCAGCCTGCGCCCCGTGGAGTTCCACGAGAAGGGCTCCCTGCAGTCCACGGCCGGGGCCGTAGGGAGGGCCGGTCTTCGCTGTCCTCATGCTCACTCTCGCCCACCCCTCCACGTCCCCCAGATCTCTGACTTGCAGCCGGGGAAGAGTTACGTGTTCCAGGTTCAGGCCGTGAATTCGGCAGGTCCGGGACAACTGTCCATGCCCACCGACCCCATACTCCTCGAAGACAAGCCAGGTAGGGGTGGGCAGAGGTGCCAGGACCACATGGCCGGGCTGTGCCACCGAGGACAGGCGGGGGCCAGAGGAGGGCTGGGAGGAGCGTGTGGATCTGTAGCAGGAAGGGACCCCCTCCCACTGCCCCCTCCACGTCATCCAGCTCTGCCTTTCCTTCTTTCCTGTTTCTCCCCCCACCCCACTCCTGTTTCTTTCTGTGGGACCCCAAGATATGAGCGTTTCTTTCTCTTTGATGGTGTCTTCCCTTCTTTCATATGCCGTATTCATCAATTCACACAACGCTTTGTGGATGTTTAAAATAATACCCAACAGCATTCCGGCTACCCCATGAGGCTTTGTCTGTCTTGCAGTCACAACTCCTGAGGTCCCCTCCTACCACACACGCCAGGTGCTGAGCTAGATCCTCACAAGGCCCTGGCCCTCCCCACAAGCCCCTGAGTGAGGAATCACTGCCCCCACCTTAGAACTGATTTTGTTGTAGCTCCGAGGTTAAGTGATCTGGTCACACAGCTAGTCCGTGACGGAATCACTCAGCTCTGCGAACTGTAAAGCACGTTCTCTTTCCATTCTTTTCCTTATTCATTCATTACTTATTATTCTTTTACCAACACATCTTTGGTGATGCCCACATTACAATGGGGACACAGCAGTGATGAGAAAGCGAGGCCCCTGCTCGCACATAGGGGAGGGGCAGGATGGACAGGAAACAAGGAAATGATGATCAGGTGATGATTTAGGAGGGTAGTAAGTGCTATAAAGTAAATGAGCAGGGTGGTATGGTGAGGTGGGGCTTACTTTAGCCAGAGTAGTCAGGGAGGGCCTCCCTGAGGAGGTATGACATTTGAGTTGAGAAGGAGCTGAGCACAAGTCCTTGGAGGCCACAGCAAGGAGACAGGGGGTTATTATTTTATTCAAGCACAATGGGCAGCCATGGGAAGGTTTAGCAGGGAGGTATATGCTCTGGTTTATTGCTTCTAAACGTTCCATGCCCCCCTGCCCTTGGATCCTGCCCTCAGATGCCCGAGAGATCAAGGTTGGTGTGGATGAAGAAGGCTTTATCTACTTGGCTTTCGAAGCTCCTGAGGCCCCTGACTCGGCAGAGTTTCAGTGGTCCAAGGACTACAAGGGCCCACCAGACCCCCAGAGGGTCAAGATCGAGGAGAAAGCTAACAGGTAAGTGAGGGGAGAGGGTGCGGCCTAACCATCCCCAGGCCCCAAATGTTGGCAGATGAGCTCATGGGTGAGACCACCTGGCGGGACTCACAGATAACGGACCTGACAGGGGCTGCCTGATCCCGGAGCCATGAGGGGACAGTGCATTTAAGGGCAGAAAGGACAACATTCATTAGCACTTCTTCTGCAAGGAATGGCATGTGCCTTCGCACGTGTGCTTCCAGGGAGACCTTGGTCTCTAGCCTGGGCGCTTGCAAACGCTGACTTGCTCTTAAAAGTTGTCTGGGCTCAGCATCCTCATCTGTAAAAAGAGGGGTTGGGACCAGATGTCAAATGTCCCCACATCTCCCTCCCCCAGCGCCAGCAGCTCTGGCTTCAGCCCAGTCCAGACGATGACTTGAGCCCTGGGGGGAGAGACTGGGCAGTGTGGCCAATGAGAAGAGAGCCTGGCTAACGGGGCCATTGAAGTGGCCGGGCCAGAGCTGCCCTGGGTAGGGCTCCCAACGGCAGGGCAAGGAGGCAACCACCCCTGCTGCCTCCTGGGGCCAGGGCTGTGGCGGGGGGGCGGGGCCTCCAGCTCCCAGGCCTCCAGTGCACAAGGCGCCTCCCTGAGTCTCTGCTCTCCTCTGTCTGCCAGGTCCAAGGTCATCCTGAAAGAGCCTGGCCTTGAGGACTTGGGCACCTACTCCGTGGTGGTCACCGATGCTGATGAAGACATCTCGGCCAGCCACACGCTGACGGAGGAAGGTAAAGCCCCCACCCCACTGCCGCCTCCCCAGAGAGACGGGCCCAGAGGAAGTCCCAAACACAAATGTCCCCAGAGGCTGGCAAGAAGAAACAAAAATTAATAAAGCAGCAATTTCCAGAGAAGGATGCCCATTCAGCCAGCCAGTCAATTAATCAGGATTTATTGAGCACCTGCCGTGTGCCAATGGGGATTCCATCAGTGGGCGCAAGAGTCAAAAATCCCTGCTTGGTGGAGTTCACATCCTTCTTGTCTCTCTTTCCTTTTTCTACGTTCGATAAATGCAAAGGTGCCAGAATCCTTTCACCTTCTTCTGTAGCCCCAGAAATACAACAGTGCGGTGTGAGCATAAATTGCAAATGGCAGCTGGTCTGAGGAATGAAGGTGACAATAGGGAGCAGTGGGGACTGTGGCAAACCAGAGAGTAGATGCTGCGTCTCAAGGGGCATCCATGTTTGATGATTTAAGCAGAGCTGGAGCCGGTGCAGATGATGACAAGACTCACTCTCTGCTGTCTCCAGAGTAACTGAGGGACAGCCCATTGCCTCCCCTGCTGGTTGCTCAGGAGACCCTCTGATTTTGTTAAGAAGCAGAAGCCAGACAGGCTCAGGTTCCAATTCCAGCTCCACAGTTTCCTGGCTCTTTGATGTTGAGCAAGTCATGCCACCCCTCTGGACATCAGCTTGCTCATCTGTAAAGGGACATTATAATCCCCCCTGGCTGCCCCAACTGAAACAATGTTAGGCACACACAATTCTAGGCACACGAAAGCCATCCACAAACAGGATATGTTTGGGATTTGTTTTATTTTGCTTTTACTTGCCATGAGTCCAGACTCATCATACTAAGGACTCTGGGGCTTATATGGGAAAATGAAGTATGGGCTCTACCCCTGCCAATTCTTCCATCCACACATATTTACTGAGCACCTACTGTGCCAGACACTCATGTAGGTCCAGAGCTCAGCTTAGCAGAAGAGACACATCTACAAACCTAACACACAGAAGCAGTAAGTGAAGAGACAGCACCCCACCGTGCTGCCCTAGCGACTTGTAGACTGAAGTGCTCAGGAGAGGGGCCAGACCCTCCAAGGCAGGACAGCATATTACAGTGGGGGAACACTGGGGCTCAGGGACCAGTGAGCCTGGAGTGGTGGGAGGTGGGCAACAATGCTCGCCCCACAGCGTTGTGTGAGGACTAGTGACGTAACGTGGAGCCTGGCACTTGGTGGGCCCTTCTTGGAGGAGGTGACACTTGATCTCAGGGTGGCCCGCAGCAGCCCCTCCTTCCCCCTTGGTGCCCCGGGGCCAAGGCCCACAGTGCTCACCATCACCTCCTGTGTAGCAAACGACTCCGGGTTGAGGGGGGAGTCTCTTGGGATGGCTCCCGTGGACCCCACTGCCCAGGCATTTCATTCTCTTTGGTTTTTTCCCCTTGTTCCTTCCTGTCCCAGAGTTGGACAAGCTGAAGAAGTTGAGCCATGAGATCAGGAACCCAAGTAAGCTGGGCCCACTGGGGTGTCCTGAGCAGAGCTGAATGGGGTGGAGAGCCAGAACCTAGCGGAGGGGCAGAGGACGAGAACATCATGGGGCTGGAGAGTCAGGGGCCCAGGGAGTCAGCAGTCCATGAGAGGGAAAGGGGCGGCTGGCAGGGAGGGGAGGGGGTACAAAGGAAGGCAGAGCAGATGGTTTCGTCTCCTTGTAATCATTATCATTGGCTCTTTAGTAGTTTGGATTTTGGATCATCTAAACCTCTACTTCCCTGTTCTTCTCCTACAAAATAGCTCTTGATCTTCTTGCTTTACTTCTCTTAAATTCAGTCCAGTTCATTACAAATCAGTGCAACATGAGTGAGTGGCATGGCCTTCAGACGCTTCAAGCACTTTGCCCGTTAAATGCCCAGGGTGTGCTCAAGGTGGGGCTGGTCGGGAATGAGGAGGGGAGAAGGGTGCCCCACTCACCCCTCCTCCGTGTCCTTTGCCTTGCAGCGATCAAGCTGATCTCCGGCTGGAACGTTGACATCCTCGAACAAGGAGACGTGCGGCTGTGGCTGGAAGTAGAAAAGTTATCTCCGGCCGCTGAGCTGCATCTAATCTTCAACGAGAAGGAGATCTTCAGCTCACCGGTAACTGGGGGCTCAGATTCTTAGGGGAGGTACCCCTGCCCGAGATGTCCGCGTCCCAGCACCGCCCCCTAGTGCACATTTCAGAAACAGCCACATGCTTTGGCTGTCCCAGGGATGGGGTGAGGGTGGGACACCTGGCTTTTAGTTGTGGTGGAGGGCTCAGGGCTAGCTGCCCGCCAATGCAAGGACTCTCCCACAGATAAAGAATGCCCATGCCCCCCCCACACACAACTTTTGAATATCTTACCAGACATTCTTAAGATTAAAAACCTACATTCATGCTCATAATTATCCAAGCCTAGACCCTAATTCTATAATATAAATACAACGGATTTTTGCACAGTTTGGGGGTTCTTTTAAAGATTTTCTTTTTATTTATTTGAGAGAGAGAGAGAGAGAGAGCACAACCAATGGGAAGGGGCAGAGGGAAAGGGAGAAGAAGACTGCCCGCTGAGCAGGGAGCCTGATGTGAGGCTTGATTCCAGGACCCTGAGATCATGACCTGAGCCCAAGGCAGACGCTCAACTGACTGAGCCACCCAGGTGCCCCTGCACAGTTTTAATATACACCAAATAGAGACTTATTCTACAAGCCACTTTACCTATGCTCTTTCATTCATTTTCCTGTTCTTCTCGTACAAAATAGCTTTTGATCTTCTTGCTTTACTTAATTTCCCTTAAATTCAAACCAGTTCATTAGAAATCAGTGCAACATGAGTGAGATTATGTTTGAGCATCTACTATTGAAATACATATGGCTTTTATTTCTTCGTCATATTACAGTGGTGGTATTACATTGCTTTTCTGGGGGAAAAAATCATGTGTGTAGGTTGTATTAGATTGAGCCACGAGTTGCCCATAATCAACTGTTTTTACAAACATGGCAATTTCGATCTCAGGAGAGATTCAATCATGACATCATGTTATTTGCACATTCCATCTCTGGGTGGCAAAGTGGCCATCAGAAGATATATGTTACAGAGAGGGGCACCAGTTCCAACAGAGGAGAAAGAGCTCAGGGCTAGATGTCAGAAGACTCATACCCACCTCCTGAGGGCTGTGTGCCCTTGGGCAGCTCTCTTCACCTCTCTGTGCCACAGTTTCTGTATCTGTACAATGACAGTTGGTTGTCCCAGAATCAGAAGAAGCAAATGAGAAAACTGATGCGAAAGTTCTGCATAAAGATTAATCATGACCTTGGCACATGGTAGAGGATGTGTGACCAAGTCTGCACTCTGCAGCGCACAGCATTGGGACTGTTGGTTGTCCCTACAGAAAAATAAAACCAGATGGCTCCCTCAAATCATACATACAAATAAATCCAGAGGGAATACAATCCTAAATGTGGAAAATAAAACTTTTTTTTTTAAGATTTTATTTGAGAGAGAGAGAAAGCACATGAGAGGGGGGAGGGTCAGAGGGAGAAGCAGGCTCCCCGCTGAGCAGGGAGCCCGATGCGGGACTCGATCCAGGGACTCCAGGATCATGACCTGAGCCGAAGGCAGTCGCCCAACCAACTGAGCCACCCAGGTACCCCAGAAAATAAAACTTTTAAAAACTGTTAGAACACGACAAAATGTAAATGAGTGTTAATTCTGGGTAGCAGGGCACCTGGGTGTCTCAGTCGTTAAGCGTCTGCCTTTGGCTCAGGTCGTGATCCCAGGATCCTGGGATGGAGCCCCGCATCGGGAGGCCTGCTTCTCCCTCTCCCACTCCCCCTGCTTGTGTTCCCTCTCTCACTGTATCTCTGTCAAATAAAATCTTTAAAAAAAGAAAACTTCTGGGTCACAAGTACACAGGCATTTTTTATATTATCCTTTATACTTTTATGGGGATTTGTAGAAAGAAGTAGAAAATGTGGCACCGTAGGGGTTGGGGGCTTATTATTAATTGCAATTAATTCAAGCACTCAAGACTCTTTCCTGTGCCTGCTGGGCCCCATGGGTGTTCCCAGGACCCCCGCCCTGGTCTCCAAAGGCTTCTCACTCCGCACATATCACCCCCCAAGTCCAAGTACGCCCTGATTTGTGCCCCACAGCACAAATCCCCTGGGATAGGAAAAGGGCAAAAAAGATTCTCCGGGTTTATTCTCCCCAGAACCGCAAAATCAATTTTGTCCGAGAGAAGGGCCTGGTGGAAGTGATCATCCAGAACCTGTCGGAGGATGACAAAGGGTCCTACACTGCTCAGCTCCAGGATGGAAAAGCCAAAAACCAGATCACCCTGGCACTGGTGGATGACGGTCAGCCACGCCCAACCCCCACCCCTGCCCCAAGCCCGACCTCAGCTCTCCACTCTCCGCTCTGGGGCTTTCTGTCCATCTTCCTGCCCCTCTCCGGACCTGCGCTCCCGCCGGCTCAGGCCAGTTCCTCCCTCTGTGTTCACAGATTTTGACAAACTTCTGAGGAAAGCAGAAGCTAAGAGAAGAGACTGGAAGAGAAAACAGGGTAAGAACCTCTGGGGTGAAGTTCAAAAGAGGCCAGTGGTCAGTGCTGGGGACCTGCTGGGGACCTGCTGGGGACCTGCTGGATCTCTCAGCCCCGCTGGGTCCCAGAGGGAGGGCCACTGCAATGCAATCCAGTTCTGTCCCCGTGCAAGAGTGACACTGAGAGTCATTCCAGCCCTGAGAGTGACACCTCCTTACACTTCGCTCCCTAGCACCCAGCTTGCCTCGCCGCAGTCCCTGCCTTGGAGGGGGCCACTCTGGGGGGCCTTTGGTCACTAGCTGCCCACCCACCCCCGACTGCCCGCTCCCCGCTGGCTGCCCCTCTCACCACCAGGTGGCACCCTGGAGGAGCCTGGAGCCCTGACGGTGGGCGTGTTTGTTTTGCGCTTCCAGGTCCGTATTTCGAGGAGCCCTTGCAGTGGAAGGTCACGGAGGACTGCCAAGTGCTGCTGACCTGCAAGGCAAATCCCCGCCCCTGCCTCCAGCCCTGCCCCCTGGCCCAGCGCGGGGAGTGTGCGGCTCGTCCCCAAGCCTGGGGGCTGTCCTTGCCCACTTCCCCGAATTCCTGTGCTTGTCTGACCCCAAGGAGCAGTAGCCCCAGGGAGACCACATTTAACTGGAAAACAAAACTATCCCCCCACTCCCACCCCGCAAGAGCCCACGGAGCCGAATTAGTGTGGTTTGGATCAGCCTTCAGCCGGATCTCCCTGCTGTTCTGGGAAGGGGTTCTGTGGGGCCTGGGCATCTGGGAGCAGCAAGTGAGGGGTCTATATATTGAGGGGGATTCCCTGATGTTTATTAGTAGTCTTGCCAGACCCTGTGCTCAGTGTTGTGAGATAAGCATGGATCAGAAAACAAGTAGAGAAAGAGCTCTAGACCACACCTAAGAGGTAGAGTCTAGAGCATGGTTTTAACCTAGTCTGTCTGACTGCAAAGCTGGGGCTCCTTCTCAGCACCCGGCAGCCTCTTTAGATGACTGGGGAAGGGCAGGAAGGGCAGGGCAGAGTGCCCTCCCAGAATCATATCCATTCAGCGAACTCAAAGTCCCTACTATGCACCAGATACTCTGCATGGCACTAGACATACAAAGATGAAGTGGGGTCTCCTTAGGCCTCTAGGAGCCCAGGGGTCTGAGGCAGGATCCTTGGAAAACAGCATGCCTCCTGCTGTGATCCAGACACGTGCCAGAAATTGGTTAATCATGATTGGGGCACTCTGGTGTGCTTCAAGGAAGGCCTCATGGAGGAGGTGACATCTAACTTGCATCTGTAAGAGGCATAGGCACTTACAAGGAAAAATGGAGGAGGGAAGAGATCAAAAGGCGGAGGGAACACCATTAGTGAAAATCCAGAATGCAGAACCAGCGGAGGAGATATGGTGTGAGGAATAGCTGAGACCCAGGAAGGAATTAGCTAAGAGTGGGGATGGGGGAGAGTCAGGTTTGTGGGGGGAAAAAAAAGATCCAATGAGTTGAGTTTTTACTTAAAAAAAGAAAGTGTGAGGGAGACTCTTCATTCCCCACCTCCCTCAGGCGACCAACACCAAGAAGGAAACCCACTTCCAGTGGTTCTTCCAGAAGAGAGAGACACCGGATGGTCAGTACGACCCAGAGACTGGAGTAGGAACTCTGTGCATCGAAGAGGTAAGCGCAGCTCCAGCTTCAGGTCTCACACCACCCGCCCCCCTCCCGCCCCAGGCAGCACCCAGAGCACTGGGCACAGAGTCCGGAGCAGGGCCAGGACCAGGGTGAAGCAAGTGAGGCACTCGCTTCGAGCACAAAATGTACGGGGGCACTAAAAACTCAGTAATCAAGATAAATAACATTTCATGCAGTATTTTTTAATCAAAATTAATGCAAAAAAATAAAAGCCCATGGAGGGGGAAATAGCAAGATTTTAAATAAAGACAGAAACAGTAATACTGATTTTTCCTTTTGTTTGGATTCCATTTCTGGCCCTGCCACTGTGTGGCCTGGGGCTAGTCACTGTCCTTCTGTGACCTTGGTTTTCATCTGTAGCATGAATGGGTCAGAAGGGAGGCTGTCTCTCAAAGGTTCATTCCCACCTCAACCAACAGTCTGGGATTCGGGACAGGAAGGCTCTCTCTGTGGGGGGCAGGGCTGGGCAGAGCAAAGCAGGGCTGGAGCTCCCTTCTCCAGCCCACGACCCCCTCCTGGCCTCCAGAGGAGGGTGGCCTGGTTACGATCAACACAAGGCTTGTTCTCAAACATTCAGTGCTTTCCTGCCCTGCTGCTGCTTTCTGTGGCCTCACGAGGCGCCCGGGAGGACTGGAGCAAATGCAGGTTTGCTGACTGGGAAGGAAATAATGATTTCAGGGTCTTCCCCCAGATCCTGGCCAGGACTTGGCCTTTGTCACCACAGTGCAAGCTCCTCGCACAGAGCTTAGCAGCTACTGAGGCTTATTACAGCAGTCTGTCTAACTGGCACAGAATTTTCTGGCTTCTAAAGCGTTACCTCCCTTGATCCTCACAGCAACTACAGTACATAGCCAGGCAAGGATGATGCCACCATTTTACAGATGAGTAAATGGAGCTTCAGAGGGTTTACATACCAAGACACAAGGCTAGAGAGTGGGGTCAGAAGCCACTCCAATCATTCTCCCCCCAGGCTTGGCTGGGACTTTGGAGCCTTCACTGGGGAGAGAGGGGGGGACATAAGAGAGGACTATTGGGGTTCAGCCCTTCGATCCCCAGGTTACGAGCTGTCTGTGCCTTGGATTCTGCGTCAAAACACACTGTAGAGATGGTCAGGGTGGGAGGGCCCCTTGGAGGGGACAGGGAAGCAGAGAGTACTTCCCGGGGCCTGAAGGAGATGCTTCAAAAGCACAATCCAAGTTCTTGCTTTGCTGAGTGTTAGTTCAGACTTCATTTGGGGATGATGAGCATGTGCCAGAAAGGAGCCCCTTGTCCTGGGCCGAAGATAACACACTTCCTTCTGGAGAAATGCAGAGGGGTCCCTGGGTCCAGGGAGAATGAAAGCTCAGATGATTCTGCAAGGAGAGTGCCTCATGCTCTACTTGGCGCGGCTGCCTGTGAATCCAAATGTGGGGTGTCTGCTTCTGCCCTCAACTCCCCCTCACCCCCACCCCTAGGCCCAGACAAGCCCTGAACTTGGAATCAAAGAGCTCTGGAGCTAGAAGGAGCCTTAGCGATCACCCATTCCAGATGGGTAAACTGAGCCCAGAGAGGAGAGGAGTTTTGCCTGAGATCATGCAGAGAGTTAGCGACAGGCCTGGAGTCCAGGCTGATTTGCACTCCTTCCAGAACCCATTCTGATACCATCATCTCTCATTTTTCTTTCCAGCTGTCCAAAGAGGACAAGGGAATTTATAGAGCAACGGTTTCTGACAATCGAGGGGAGGATGACACCATACTGGACCTCACAGGTGAAGGTAGGAACTGGCGATGTTAGAGATGGGCCAGGAGGACCCAGGGGATCACACAGAATCAAAAGATGTGATATGACCTGTGGGGTAAAATGTATGGGATCCCCATATCACTTGGGGGCAACAGAGAGGCTAAGTGACCTGCCCAGGGCTGCACAGCTGGTCAGTAGCAGGGGCCTGGACTCTGACACCAACACCCATGTTCTCTGCAATCTACCAGTGAGCCTAGGCTTCAAGACCCAAAGCCAGAGTTCACTCCTCCACCCCACACTGGGCCCCAGACTCCTCATCAGGCTGGTTGGCCCAGCCTCAAGAAAATTGTCAGCCTGGCCCATTTGCCCTACATCCATGGTGCTCCCCTGCCCCATCAATCAGTGAGTGCCCCAGACCCCCTCACCCCAAGCCATGGGAGTCATCCTGCAGAGCTCCCTGTGCCCTGAGCTGTTTGTGAGTTCCACCAGCCTTTTCCAGGGACATGCTCACCCCTGGCACGTCCCTGGGAGGGGCCTACATCAGCTGACCGTTCTCTCTGTCTTCCTCTAGCCCTGGATGCCATCTTCACTGAGCTGGGCAGGATTGGTGGTAAGCAAGCCTCCCTCTGCACTTTGCTCAGCCCTGTCCTGATGCAAACAGCCTCCAGGGCACCTCCAACCATTTCCAACTTCAAAGATTGAGGGAGAAGTTTCTGCCTCCTCGCAATGCCACGTTCCCCCCAGCACACCCCCAGAGCAGGGTGAGCTGGCTGGCCCCAAAATGTGCTGCCCAAAGGACGTTGGCCTTCTCCTTTGCCTCCCCAGCCCTCTCTGCGACCCCACTGAAAATCCAGGGGACCGAGGAGGGGATCCGGATCTTCAGCAAGGTCAAGTACTTTGACATCCAGTACATGAAAACCACCTGGTTCCACAAGTAAGTTGGCCTTCCCCTGGAGCCCTAGCCAGGCTTGGGGGGTAGAGGGTGGGGGAGGACAGGCAGCATCCGCCCCAGAGCCCAGTCCCAAGGGGTTGGCAGAGACAAGGTCTCCCACCAGTCGTGCTGTCCACAGAGGGAGTCACGGATAGGGAACAGCGATTAAAGGCACAGAAGGGAGGTCCCCCAGGGAAGGTCGGAACCCTAGTGATAAAAGCAGTTTTCCAGAACATCCATGGCCACAGAAGGATCATTGTCTTAGAGCAGCATCTGGGAACTGGGGGAGGGAAGGAAAACTAGATGGTCAGGTGGGTCAAGGTTGCCCTTTTGGGTCTTTGCAGACCTAGCAAACTCAGGCAGCTGGGCTGAGGGAAGAGGTACAGGCAGAGGGACCTGTGGGGCTGACGACTGACTGACTGCCAGGGCTTGAAGGCAGGATGGATATGTTACCCACAGAGATTGGCTGGCAGGCAGGAGCTAAGTGACCACAGACAGTTTGAGAGCATTCTTTTCCCAGGGCTGCTTATTATCTGCATGCCTCAGCCTCGCAGAGCAGACATTACTGCACCTGCCCTATGGAGAAGGCTAGACTGACTTGGTCAAGTTTGTCAAATGCGTGAGAGCCCAAACCAAGGACTCCTTTCCCAGCTAGAGTTACTGAGCCCAAGGATCCAGTCCAGAGGTGTCACCTCTGTGACCCAACACTGAAGACATGGTGTCTCCAGGAATGACGTTTAAGTAAAGAAAGGAAGGAGTTTCTATGGTTTTTAAGGGCTGGGGAAGGGTGATTGTTCGAAGAAACACTAGAAGGGTTTGAGCTGAGGAGAATGACAAGGTGAGGAAGTGACCCCCGAGGGTGGAGGAGGTGGTGGGCGCTGACCCGGGAGCGCCGTTTCCTTGGATCCCTAGCCTACAGGACGCGTCACAAGTCCAGACTCGGCATTGGAACATAGCTGATGTGCCACAGATTTGCTGAACAAACAAACGAACGAATGAATGAATGAATGAATGATAGATGGATGGCCAGCCCACAGATCTGGAAACAAAACCCCAGGAGAGGAGTTTGGGGTAGGGGGTGTCTGTAGCCCCACAGCCAGCCAGCACGATGAGCTGAGCCGAGTCAAACGCTTCTTTGTCCTCATATCCAGAGAAAAGCGCCTGGAGAGTGGTGACCACATAAGGGCTGGCACCACGCTGGATGAGATCTGGCTCCACATCCTGGACCCCAAAGACTCAGACAAGGGCAAATACACCCTGGAGATAGCCGCGGGGAAGGCAACCCGGCAGCTCTCAACTGATCTCTCGGGACAAGGTGAGCTGGCCACGGAGAAACCTGTTTAGAAAATCCCATGGTCTTTGCGGGGGAAGGGGACTCCTATCTCCCCACCCAATCTGGGCACTGCCCCGAGAGAACACAGGGTGGGGAGGACAGTGGAGGAACAGTGGGCGCAAAGCCCTGTACCTGCAGGTCGCAGGGGCTGAGGGGCTGACGCTCCCCTTCCCTCCCCCTCTTTCCTTCTGGCAGCTTTTGATGATGCTTTGGCTGAGCACCAGAGACTGAAGTAAGTGCCCTTTGCATTTCTTGTGTGAATCATAGGCCCCTGGGGATATGGCATGAGCTGGGTACAGGACCCCTTCCCGGGAGCCTTGGCCAGCTCCACCTTTCCCTTGTCACCCCCCCACCCCCCCCCAGGGCAGGCTTGATCTTTAACAAATGAAACTCGAGCCTTTTTCCCATTTCTGTTTTTCAGAGCCTTGGCCATCATTGAGAAGAGTAAGTCCCCTCGTATTTCTGTTGTTCTCGTGTCTGGGTTTGGGGCAGCTTCCCATGAGTTTATGCCTCCCAGCAGGGATCTGAAGTCCCGGCTCCCCCGTGGGGTCCGTGTGGGTGTGGGCGGCGGCAGCACAAAGGCAGACGGATGGATAAGGGGTCCAAGGACAGCGGAGATGGTGGGTGTGGACCGAGCAGGCTCGCAGACAAGGTCAAGGGCAGCAGCCGGGGCCTGAAAGGCCGGGACTGACAGGAATGAGGCTGGGCGGGCTCTCTCGTGAGGCCTGGGGAAGGGACAGCCTCCGGAGCTGAAGCCGGTCTGGCTGGCGGGGCACTGGGGCCTCACCTGGTCCGGAACCCAGGCCCAACCCCAGAGGGACGTGGTTTGGCCACAAAGCAGCAGGGATGCCACTGCCAAGTCCACATACTTTAGCTTCATCAGGTGTCCCCAGTCAGTTCCTCCTTCCCCGCTCTTGAGGGCAGGGGCACCCTACTATCCCCTCCAGGTACCATCCATTATAAGGATCACTTCAAGGCAATAACAGAAGCACAGTATGTCCCCCATCTTCTGTTTGGGAAGGCAAGGAAACATGTAACGCAAATTTAAAGATTTCCACCCAAAATGCTGAAAAGAGAGAAAAGAAAACATGGCTTAAAAAGAACCCCAACTCTGTGGGACCTGCTTCTGGGAAGCAGTGGCAGGAATTCATTCATCACTGGAGCCTCTCTGTTCCCTTCCAGATCGTGCCAAAGTGGTGAGGGGCTTGCCAGATGTAGCCACCATCATGGAAGATAAGGTAGAGAGCAACCCCAGCCTGTGGCGAGCACTACCCCCTCTGCACTCCCTCTGTACCCATCAGAGATCATGATACAGAGTAGCACCGTGGATTCAAGAGCCAAAGGAGCTGGCTCCACCAGAGCCTGGCCAAGGGACCACAACTCGCTGGTCGCGTGTGGTATAAAGGAAACACTGAGCCTGGTGTCAGGCCCCTGGGGGTGTTCATCCCACCTCTGGAGGTGGCCCTGGGCATCACAGACTTTTGCCTGTGAACTTCCATTTCCATTTCCGTAGGAGTTCTACTAGATGATCCCTAAAAGCCCCTCTAGACCTGAAAGTATGCAAGCCTATTGTTCTAGAAAATGATCGCTCATGTTTGTATGGTGCTTACTTTGTGCCAGGCACTGTTCCATATACGTGTACATACTTTCGTTTGTTTAACCATCAAGGCAACCATGGGAAGTAGAGTATTATTGCCACTCTTAGTCACTCTTTATAGCTGAGCAAACTGAGACCCAGAGAGGTCAAGAGACTTTCCTAGGGTCACACAGCTGGAAGGGACAGAGCTGAGATTCACAGAGTCTGCATGTGCTCAGCTCCAGACAGTGTTTGATCATTACACTATAGTGCTCTGTGTTAGAGCTTGTTCAAGAATTTTCATACCCAATTCATAAACCTTCGTATTAAAGCAATATAGTCTTATTTGCATGGTAAAATCATAATGGCATATATGCGACAAAAAGCAATAAAGCAAAATTCAGGCCAGTGTGGGGCAGATGATTGCTAGGGTAATGATGGTCTGAAATTCTAACTAGTAAGTATTTCTGTAGAAAACTTGAGGATGGAGGATGTGGGATTCAAATAAAATGTCTCTCCCTTTAATGTTCTCCTTTTATGGGTTACAAGAGAACACAGGCAATAAATTTATCACCAGGAACAACTTGTACTGGGAGCTGTCTGGGGGAGTGAAGGTGAACGCCAAGTGTGATTAGAAGGAGGCGAGACTGAGCATTCCCTTCCTGTCCTCTCCTACAGACCCTGTGCCTGACCTGTGTCATCTCGGGAGACCCCACCCCTGAAATCTCTTGGATAAAGAATGACCAGCCTGTCACCTTCCTTGACCGCTACCGCATGGAAGTGAGGGGTTCGGAGGTCACCATCACCATCGAAAGGGTCAACAGTGAGGACAGTGGGCGCTACGGCGTCTTCGTCAAGAATAAGTATGGCTCTGAGACGGGCCAGGTCACCATCAGCGTGTTTAAGCACGGGGAGGAGGCCAAGGTGCTGAAGAAGACGAGAGGACATGCTGAAGCACCACCTGTGGTCTAGTCTGCATGGACCAGCGGGGTCAACCAGTATGTCACAGCCTGGCACAGGCCATGGGGGCAGGCAGGGGGGAAGGGGACAGGGTGGAACCCAGGAGGGGGGGGAAGCAGGGATGAGAGTGGAGTGAGCACACCAAAGCACAGAAGCAAAGACCTCGCTGGGGTCCTGAACGATCTCGGGGTCGTGAGGTCAGCAAGACTCCGCTCCCAGTCCAAACTCTGCGTGAACCTCGCCTTTCTCATCTGCTAAATGGGAATTCCTACTCCAAGGGATTGTTTCTGAAAAACCCTTTATCAACCATATTCCAGGGGTTCTCAACAAGAGGCACTTTGCCTTCCGGGGGGACATTTGGCCATGTCCAAACTTTTGGTTGTCACAACCAGAGGTGTCTTCTGGCATCTGGTAGGTAGAGGCCAAGGACACTACTAAACCATAGCTCCCCGCCACGTAGAATTATCAGACCCCAAAGGGCAGTAGTGCCGAGGTTGAGGTGCCCTGCCGTAAACGGTTGGAGGGCCATATCCCTCCTTTAGGGGTCTGTATTTTCAATTCCCTTCAGTTCAACAAACATTCATCCGAGCTCCAGCTGTGCCAGGCGGAGGAGATCACTGGAAGCTCAAAGATAAATGATATGCAGGCCCCACCCTCGAGGCTTCAGCACAGATGGAGAGACAGACCTGGATACAAAAGACTCCAGGACAGGCAGATAAGGATGACAAAACGGATCCAAAGAAAGTGCCACTAGTGGTCAGAGGGGGGAGACAGATGTCCGTCCCAGTGGGGGAAGGTGGGCTTTAAAACACCTTCACGGACCTAGCGGAATTGGTGTTGGACCCTGAAAAACGAGTCCAATTTGGCAACGGTATTGGGAGGACATTTCCGGAGGTGGGACGATGCTGCTTAGCTGGCCTTGGGTGCCAGGTTGGAGAGGACAACGACCTCAGGACCTCTCCCAGCTCGGGGCCTCTGCCTGGCATGATAGATACTGGTTGGCCTTGCCCAATGGACCTCAATCCAGAGCTGGGCATGTCTCAGCCCTCCTGTTTCCGTCTTTTTTTAAAATAAGATTTGGGG